TCTAAAAGATTCAACTTTTCTTTATATCCAAGTCTTCCAGGGATATATAAGCAATTTACAAGATTTAGCACCATGTATAGTGTGCAGTTTGAAATTGCACTCATTAACTCCGCATTACCGTTAGATCTGGTATTTGATTTGTTCTTTCAGAGCTGCGGTAGAACATCGATGATGCAAAATATAGTGCAGATTCAGTGTAATAGAAGGAACTGTGTCCTTAGAGATAAGTTACCAAGACAACAAGATTATTATTCTCATATTACTCAAAACAATTACATCTGTCATGGGATGGATGAAAAGACACATAACATATTTTTCTCACAATCAGAAATTAAGTTATGATAAACTTATTCTGTTGTTGGTCTCTTAGGATGACCAGAATAACCCATGGTCAGAAAATGGGTTAACATATTGACACAGTAAGAATATTTTGAATTAAATTCAGAGGTTTGCATACATTTCCTTCATGGAATTTCTTAAGGATAGCAATTGGCTTTGTTGTCCTCAAGCCTGTTTGTTACTATCTTGCTGGAGTCATTTACATTGTTGGGATGTAAACCAAACTATAACTGGTTCACCAGAACATAGCCTGTGACAAATCCTAATACTAGTCAGATCTTTTTTCACGGATTAACTGTCTTATCCAAGACTGTCATGACATGGTGACAGTTATGAAGAACACATACTTTTGTAAAAGTTATGTACTGCGTCTTTAAGGGTTTAATATGCATTCTTATATATGTATATATATATGACTCAAAATGGAGCAGTAACTAGCTAATATATTTGGCTTTCAAAACCAAAATGTAGTTGTTCTGAAAATGTTTAGAGACACAGTAATTGCTTTATATGAAAACTTTTGAATTTAAAGAAAGTAGTCACAAATCATAGCAAAAATAAATAATGCTGGAAATTAAACAGGAAGTGTATAGCTAAGAAAAGGTCCTGTCAGTGTTTCTTGTTTAGAGTGAATTTTAGTCCATCTCCTCTCCTCCTGCATAAAACGGGTAAATGCACAGCAAATGCAGTAGTTCACTGTTGCAATCACTCTAATGGGCAATTACTCTGGATGTCCACTTTATTGTTCTGTTATGCTAAAATACTTTTAGCAGCAGATACCTCTCTGTTTCGGCTGTCTGCTTATGTTTTTGTGTCATAAAAGGGCGAAAGGTTCATGTTGGACCCTTCCACCTCTAAAAGACGGATCTGAAGTGGCTGGCAGCAGAAAGCCCAGCTGCTCTAGGTCACCAGTCTTAGAGACCTTGTAAAAGTGAAGGAAAAGCCTGCGGAGAGAAAATCGAAGGCCAGAGGCGAGCCGAGCTGGATCAGCAGTCTGCATGTCTTCACAAAGCGGAGAGGGAGGCAGATAAAAAGGCTGGCTGGCAGAGGATTCCAGCCTTTCACTCTGATGAACCAGCACTGGACCATCTGCTGTTAATGATTAGTCATTCAGAATGCAGTTAAAATAATTATTTCCACATATCTGTACTTAGAAAAAAATGGTCTTACTTCTTCATTTTTGCTTAGGAGTGTGTAACTTGACATTGAAGCAGAAAAAGACAAAGCTCCGATGGGCACGTTACTTTCTGTCACCACTAGATGGCAGTGTTGTCTAACTAAAACCCTCTTCACAGATGTTCTCATTCTGTGCTGATTGTTTTTTTGTTTGCTGTTTTTTTGTTGTTGTTGTTGTTGTTTTTTGACAGGGTTTGACCTCGGGGGTCAAGTGGCGATTGGCTTTTCCCACTGGAAGAGTCCCGTCCAATCAAGCAGCCGGAATCTTCACAGTCCGGATGGTGTTCGCTCGGAGGCTTCGGCGGCCCCACCCATCGGCGAGCATGCTGAGCCGGTGTCCTGTCCGGCGTCGCTCTCCATCAACCCGCTGCCCACCTGCAGCGCCAGTCAGGAGACACTGTGCGACAGCAGCACAAGTAGGTTAGACGGCGTGGTGGATGAGACGCCTAAAATCCAGTCTAGTTGAGTCCGAAATCGCCATCTCGACCTTAGCCAACAGGCTGTAAATTTCAGAGAGCTGGTTTTATGGAAGACCAGAAATTAATATCCCTTCACTATCTTAACATTTGGTCGCAGTTGAATGACACTGTGGGGATTTTTTTCAGTTCAGACAAGAACGCTTCTCAGATTAGAGAAAAATGGAAGGAGCCAAGTTCTGGGCAATTGTTTATCAATCATTTATTCATATTGTTCTTCACACAACCAGAGTAGATGCGTTTCCATTGACCATACAATTGCGCAATTTGGCATTTTGAAAATAAATTTGCTTATTGGAAGCAAATTTATCATGAAGCAACAAAGCAGCTTAAGTCCGCCGTACTACCACCACCATCTTTGACCCTGTCTTGTGTTCATGATGCGCCAAGTGTTATGAGACAAAAATATTCAGAAATATTAAATTTTTGTCTCATCAATCCTTTTCCAGAAATTATTTCGGATCATGAAGGTATTTTTGGGGGGCAAATGACATACTGGCTTTTGAGTTGTATTTGGTCAGAATAGGTTTTCTCATTGGAACGCTCCTATGGAAGCCACTTTACCTTACCTGTGCTCTACAGGGCTTTAGATGTTGCTTTGGGTTCTTTGAGACCTCATGGATCAATCCTTGACGCATCCTGAATTACTCTCAAAGTAATGACCCAACTTATTTTTGAGACTCCATTACTTAGAGTTAGGGTTAGGGCAGAATTACCTTCGAAGACAACAAAGTCACTTTGGTAGGTAACCGTGTCATTGCTTTTTGAGAGCGTCTGGTCTACTTCATGTCTATAGCAGGTCGTCCATTAGGGATTTTGTGATAGTTCTGTCCTAAAGAGGCATAAGGGAGACCCAGGTGCTGAGAAATTTGCAGAGCTGGAAGTATGATGAAAATAATAATCAAAGCAACTAACAGCAAAAGCTAACAGGAGACAAAAACTGGAGCAATAACTGGAGTGCAGGTAGTGTGGTGGGTTGTAATGGAAGTGAAGAACAATGTAATTGGAAAGCTTAAATATACCGAGAAGGCCAGACGGGAGTGGAAATGACAGAGGAGCTAATTACAGGTGAGTGGATGCAGCTGGGGAATGGAGCAGGTAGGCTGATGGTGAGGTAGAAAGTAATCAAAGCTAAAAGAATCAGAAGGGGGAAAGAAACCTGAAACTAATAAAGCAGTAAACTGAAATACTAATGTAAGGACACAAATCCAGAACACAAATAATGGGACTCATTGGACTCACACAAGAAATAAAAAAAAAATGGGAAAAATGTAAAGAAACAAACTATAAAGAAACGATCCAGACAAAAAATAACTGAAGCTACAAGTCCAAACCTTAACCCTTCATAATAACTACAGATCTGGAAATAATGAAAACTCCTTGTGTAAGATGTAAATTTATGTAATGTGATGGGGGCGGATAGGAAAAGCAGAAGAAATTAGCAGTAATACGGCAATGACTTTGTCTCCTCTTTCAATTTTTATTAACATTTTTAAAATTGACCCGGCCCCTAGTTCCCGTGGCGATGTGTGCCCTTGAGTCTCCATGGCAGCTACCTGCTGACACTGTAATCGGTGCCAACTGTCATTGTGCTGTGCTGCCGCAACGCTGCCACAGCCAGCACTCTCTTCCGATTGGCCCGCTGTCAGAGCAAGCCTGACGTCTGATTGGCTGGCGTTGAAGAAGCCGATGAGCACCACACACACACACACACACACACACACACACACACACACACACACACACACACCCTCGCTCCATCTCCTCCTCTCTCTCCCTGACACTGTAAACATCTTGCTCATGCTTGCGTGTTCCTTCTCCTTTCTTTGAGGATCTCTTGAATGCCAGCCTCTCCAGTCCGGAGCGCGCGCGTGCGTCCCTGCGCGTCTGGGATGTTGACTTGGTCGCTACGGTGATGGGGTAAAAAGTGTGTAGGAGGGAGGGGAGATGCTGCTTTCCCTCGTGGGACGCCGTGTTTGTTTGCTGGTGTCCCTCGGCGAGGCCGTTCGCTGGCACCGGAGGGAAAACGCGGGCTGACCGAGTGTGTGTGCAGGCGTGCATGTTTGCATGTTTGTATGTAGAGGAGTCCTTCTGGCTGTTTTGACTTTTGCTTCAGCTCAGCTGGGAAGCTCCCCCCTTCAATCCCCAGTCCCTCTGTCCCCTCTCTCCTCCGCTCTGAGGGGTGAAGCTGCCTCTGTCTCTGCCCACCTCCACACGGTGAGTGTTGTCAAGTTGTCTTGAAGCGAAGGCAGCTTGTTCTTCAGAGTGCTGCAGTGCTCTACTTCATGTGTTGCCATGTCCTCCTCCTCTCACTCACCTTTACCCCCGGCTCATTCCTCACACTCGGCTACCCCCCCCCCCCACCGTGACCATGCAAGCATATGACCTTCAGTCGCTGTGGCGGTGAACTCTTTTTTTTTTCTTTCCCATACACTTCTCCATCGTGCATGATGCATTGCTCCGAACACACTCAGAAAGGTCGTGTCATTGACGCCGGAGAGTGTGAGCGAGCGTCCTGCTGGATGTGCAGCGATGGATACTCCATCATTCCCTGACGGGGAATAAAAGACACATCCAAGGACGACGATGGGCGCATCCAGATGGAGGGAACGCTTTTCCTGACACTGATCTGCGAACCGCACACACGCACGCACACATGCACGCACACATGCACGCACACATGCACGCCATCGTCTTCTGTTCTCTTCTCCTCTGTGACATAGAAGATCTAAAAACGGCCGTAGAACGGATGCTACCATTTTCTCCAAAAATATACTGTTCTTTGAATAAAAATGCCACACATATCTTCTTTTTTTGTGTTTTGTTTAATGTTCTACATGTAACACAAAGTTCATAATTTGCACTTTCATGTACTTCCATTTGGGTTACCGTTACTTCTAAAAAACTGTCAAAATGCTTTAAAAAATTTCAAAAAGATTTTTTTGGACAATATGTCAATGTTTTTTTGGTGTCTGGAAAATGTGCCCTTTCAAAAACCTCAACAAATCAAATCAAAAGGCACCACCCCTCACCCAGCCCATCACCTAGCCACCAAGCAGAGTTCCAACACGTTTGGTCAGCTGGTCTCTTCATAAAAATCCATATTCCCATCATGTTTTAGTGTGTGTGTCCATTTGGTTTCTAACTTATGGAATTCTGCACTAATATTTGCTAGTGTCCTCATATCACGATGTTCCTTCCTCCAAAACACACTGCTGGTATGTTGTGTTTGGGGTGCTGTGCAGTGCAACTATTCCTCTAAACATGCAGTGTGAAATGGAATTGAAACCACTCACTGATATTTCTAATAGCTCTTTTCTTGGCTTTATGCGTACTTCGCCTCCTTTTTTGTGAAGTTTTTAAAATGTATAGTATATTTCATTCCTCATTATTACACTAAATGATTGATTTATTTGGGTGGATATTTTCATCTTTATTGAATATTTGGACCGTTTTTGCCTATTTTTCTCACTAATATTTAGGCAGAACTACTGTCTTAAAGTTTTATCTGTAAATAAAAGAAAATATCTGCAATGTCTTTTCAATCTGAAACAAAAGACAAATTGTGTTAGATGTAGCATCAATGAGGCGTCTTGAGCTGCCGAACTCCCACACAGGAATGTTTATGAGCACTAATATCTGATATTGCCTGCGAGGGCAGAAACACTGGCACAGCCTCAAAACTGGAAAAGCACCATAAAATATCACTTTGACTATTTCTTGATCCTAGTGTCTCGAAAACTAAAGTTTTGGTTTTGAATTGGTCAGTATCGATCAGAGATATTCTAAGGAATTAGCAACGGTGAACTGGTAACATGGTCATGGTTGAGCAAGAGCCATGGTGGACTGATCTGATGAAGCAAGTTTTCTTATGAAGTCTCTTGTATGTTAAGGCCTGATGGTGTACGCGTTGTTTGAAGAAGGCAAGCCCACAGAGGCTTCTGGTAAACTTCTGTTGAGAGACTATGGGTCCCTCCATTTCTTGGGACGCTACTTTGACACCTCTCTATCTAGCACACCGTGTGTCCACTGTCATGGAAAAATTGTTCCCTATAGGGTTAAAGCTTCTTTCAGCCATATGTTTCACTTTTTCACTGAGAACACTGAGAACTTGAGTTTTTGGATGCGGGCTGGCCTCCCAAATTCCTGGATATGGCCTCTGTGGCAAAGAAGTAGATACCATGTAGATACCACTTTGCAATGTTCTGCTGTTCAGAGTCTGCTGCTAACATGCTGAAGACAGATACCGCAGCCCACATCCATGTGTCAGGAGGACCCCAAGTATCTAAAGGTTGTCTTGTGGCTTGTTGGTGTCAATTTATCTTCGAATTTAGTCTTCAGACAGAATGCATTTGCCATGTCAAATAAAAATCTATTCTTCAACTTACAAGGTACTGTATGTCAGTTGGACGTATCCCAAGAGCCACACCTTAGACTTTAACAGCCTCTGTTAGCCTGAGAAATGCTGATGTTGATACCAGAAATGTTAGCAAAAACAAAACTGAACGATTGCTCATGTGGAGTCGTTGCCAAGAAAAAGGTTTACAGAGATGCATCTGGGTGAAACCCAAGACTTGTGGAAAAATGTATTCTGGACAGATGAGGCCAAAGTAGTGATTTTCGCTATGATTCACGCTACCACAGTTAGCTAATGCCCAGCACAGGCTTTAGGACTGGCAGATAGAATCTCTATGGACTCAGCTCATGTGTTGGGCAGTAAATTTGTACTTCTGCCCTTTGGGAGGCGATTCAGGGTGCCTTGTTTCAGAAGAAAAAGGCACAAGAACGCCTTTCCATCAAACTCCAAAACAGGAGGAAGAATAAATTAATTCACCAGATTCACAGGACCCAACAACCTCTTTCTGGGAAGGAAACAACTCCTGCATTCCCAAAAAGTAACCGTTCGGTTTCAGGAATATACTGTAGATCTATAAAACATTCTCATTTTCACTTCTCTTTTATGAGTTTTGATCGTTGATCCTGCGATCAAAATGTGTTTGAACTACCTATGCTTTTCCCTATTAGGTTTCAACCCTGGCATATGACAATCAATACGTTTTGAAATTTATTCTGAGAGTATATTTAAAAAAATAATCCAAGAACCAGCAATTATTTCGGCACAACAGTGTTAAAACATTGCTTTATGGTTGTTATTTTCTGTCTTCACCCTGAAAGACATTCATCATTTGGGAATTGATTGAGTGGGATTGGTGAAAGCAACCGACGCTCGTTTTGTTGCTTCTCTGGTGCCTGTCTGTCAAAGACTCTCACCTGCAGTTTAAATATTTCAGCCTTGTGTGAATGAATGCATTTTGATCGGTCGGAATGCTTCGGAGATATAAAAGAGTGAAAGCAATCGCCAGATGAAAGGGTATCTGATGAAACGGAGATCTGACGATGAGGTCGGCTTCTCTTTCCTTTTATGTGCGCTCCCATCAGTTCACCATGCGATCTCAGATGTAGCTTGCGTTACACACACCCCGCCGGGCCGTTAATGTTGCATGGATGCATTGTTTGACCCGTCACAGCGTGACCCGTCGGCGCAGCAGCCTGACATTAGCCAGGGTCGGTCCTCGAGGGCCGGAATCCTGCATGTCTTAGTTCTCTGCCTGGTTTAACCCACCTGGATCCAATGATGTCTCGTTGGAAGGACTAAGAAGAACACTGACATGCTGAAAAGGTTGTCACTACCAAGTGAGAGAGAACTAAAATGTGCAGGATGCCGGCCCTCCAGGACAGACTTTGGGCACCCCCGACGTAAGCTAATCTGTGACATCCTAGTCCCCAGGCAGCTAACATTTATAGTAAGCAATTCTAATCTCCACTAATGAGAGCAGGGTTGACGTTCTGTAAGGAAATTGGGCCGCTAATGCATCAAATACTGAAAGTGAAGTCAAAAAGCTAAAACGGTGGAGCGCTCCTGATATTTCTATGTCATATTTGGAGAATTGCACACAAAATCAACAATTGTGGCTAAAAGACAAAACAAAAGAACCAATTAAGACAACAGAGCCCAAAAAAAGAAGAAAAAGTCGATTCGACAGTAGGGTACTTCGGTGGAAACACCGTTTTTTTGTATGTTCGCTGTTTTTTTTGCATCACACGACCAACAACCGGATGTCGCTGCCGACGAAAAAGACACAGAAGTCAACAGGAAGTGGTGAGAGAAGTGACGATGCGACATATTTTCATCAATGACTTTTTCATCAATGGAAATGCAGCAGTTGATAATTATTTATTTTTTTTTTTATATCAGTGGAATATAAATAATTTCTTTTCACACATTTGTAATGGAAATGCGGCTAGTATGACAGCAGCTTCAGTTTGCTTCCATTTTATTAACTTAAACCCAGTACAGAGGAACATTTACGGACCCTTGGAGCAGTAATTTTGCTTGTTGGGAGTTGGATCGCTTACCGCTCTCTGCATCCAGAGGCTCCGCTGTTCCACAGCATCAGCAGCTGATTAAAAGCTTCTTCCCCCCCACTTCTGTCTCTCTCTCTCTTTCTTTCTATCCCTCAGCAGAAAAATTCAGCTGAGTCACATTTACTGTCACAAACAAAGGCAGTCATTTAGGACTGAAGGTTAAAAAAAGATAAATAGGTAGCTAGATTGAGTTTAATTCATCTTTTTTGGCTAAACTGAGAATATTTTAACAATCTGGGAGTCAGTCTAGTTGAGAAAAATTCTCAGTTATCATGTGGTTTTATTGACTGGTGCAGATTTGAATGTTTTTTTTCTGTGTTAATTCTTATGATGATGCAATGCCTCCTGTTTCCATTTTATTTATTTATTTGCTTTTTTTTTTGCAAATTATGGTGACAAACAGATCAGGACCGGCAGTCATGCATAATGTTCTGAGACGCCTCATCCCAACGCTAGCTGTGTTTTCATTACTAATGTGCACAAAACTATAACAATATTCCAGTCACGTAAAAAAAAAAAAAAAGAAATCATAATTTTGTAATTGTGGTGTTTCCATTAACTAAGAAATACAATTAAAATCACACGACTAACATTGTCCATGTGATAGTTCATAGGAGAATGATGGTATGTATCTACTACCATCATTGTCCTGACACTTCTTGTTGACTTTGTCATTTTCGTCTGTAGTAACATCCGGTTGTTGTTGTGTTTTTTTTGCAATTCCAATTTGCAACATTTCATGGTCAATGGAAGTGCAGCCAGTGTTTGTGGAATTATATCACGGAAAATCTTAGGGGATTCTGAAACCTGGACTGTTGAAATAACTCTTTACATCAACAGAGGAGGCACATAACCCTCTAAAATAAAAAATTTTAAAAAGGCCTTTTCAGTTTGGTACTGCAAAGTGTGCAAAGACACAAGACACGAGTGAGTTTCCCTGCCTTTCCGCAGATGTGAGTTTATCTCTACATGGATTTGAGCCCAAGCAGCAGAGCCCGCACCGACACCGAGAGCCGCAGCGGCCCTCGGCCTCTGGCTACCAGCTGGCCGACAGACCCCTCGCTTTCCTGTACCTAGAGAGGGACGGCGCCATGGAGGAGTCGTCGGCCGAAACCCTGGACTCCAGCACGCAGGGCGACGTGCCTCCACTGGGTGAGGCTTCTGAAGACCTACAGAGTTTTATTTTTATTTACATTTTTTCTCTCCCTCTCTCTCTTTCTCTCTCTCCAGATAATTTAGTTTGTTTTCTCACCCGTCTTTGCGTTTAGCCGTGAAGGACGTCCAGGTGGTGCTGCAGAAAGAAAGGTCGGACGGCATCAGCACCCCGTCCAGAGACGACGACTCCACCCTCCAGAACCCGGGGACTCACAGCAGCATCCTGGATGACAGCAGCAAGTCGCAGTCAGCCGTCCCCGAGGTAGACTAGGAGAAAGATAAACCGAGAGAACACAAAAAGAAGTTCCAAATGATTATTTCATTTTATAAGAGAAAAATACTGTCCAAACCAGCCTGGCCATCTGTTAAAGAAAAGTACTTACTATTTACTTGATTGTGCTACAAAATGACACTTTGTGCCTGGGACGTACATAAAACTGCCTCTTTAAGGTTTTTAACCAATTAAGACCATTCTGAATATCTAAGAGGTCCAGGTGTGAGGTAAATAGTTTGATGTAACTGAGGCGCATTGTTTTCTGATCTTCTCTCCACAGAGGAGGAACAAATCGACTGGTCTTTGCTTTGGTGACGGAAAAAGTCTCATAGACTACATCCTGGTTTACAGGAAGTCCAGCTCCCAGTCCGAGAAGAGGGAGATGTTTGAGAGGAACATCCGCGCCGAGGGGCTACGCATGGAAAAGGAGGTAAGGAAAAAAATTAAATGTGACTAGAGCTTCACGAGTTGTGTCTTTTTCATAGATATTTAACTTGCTAATAGGTATTAAGGATGTGGTTATGGTCCTAGTGTGAGATTTATAAAACCTTTGTTCACCATTACTGATGTAGGCTGTGACAATAATTCGGTGAAAGGATAGCCCGGAAAACGTGAAACATGAAACTGTTGCTGTGCAAGTTCGGTAACCAAAGAGTGAGTTAGTTACCAGACGCCACCAACCTAGCTTAGCTCACTGTCGGAGGGTAAAAATGCTGTGAATATTGAATATTATCAGACATGTACTTTATCGATATTGATCACGTGTCTCATCGCGATATATATATTGGTATTGATTCATTGTCCAGCCCTCAAAAACCTTAATAGACTCACAAGGTCCTATACCGAGACATAGGAGTTTGTTTTAATTCAAGAAATGTTTTCAAATATTAGAAGTTAAAATATCTGGTGGGAGAATATTTTACTTATAACTAGCACTTTTTCATCAATATTACAGAATTAATGACTTACTTATCATGCTGATCATGCTAAATCATCTCCGCCTACACACCCAGAATCTTATTAAGGTCTATAAAATTGTGTTTTGCCTTAATTTGGTTTTAGAACACATTCAGTCTTACCAAAGTAAAACTTAAAACGCTCAGCGCTTTAGTGCCAGCGTTGAAATCGTGGCATAAGGACTCTGCTCCCACCTCGAAATCAAGAGATTCGATGATGCTGTTTTGAAATCGTCTCTTGGAATTGTGAAACTTCTGGATCATCTCTGGCCTTTCAGAGATGATCCGAAAGGGTCATCTCCTGCTACAACTTAACGACGTAGCAGGGCCCGCGTCGTGATCGGAGCGTCTGGAGAACGATCAATGAAACTCTTTCAGCTCTCGGCCGTGGGTGTTTCTTTCACAGAGTCATTGGGTTATTTTTAGCTCTCCTACTAGTCGTTTGCAGATAGTCACGCTTTAAACGATTCACCCACGCTGCTGGAACGTACGACGATGTAAGGGAACTGATACCGAGCGGCCTGGGGGAAAGTTACTGAAACTGTTTCGGTGTGTGTGTGTGTGTGTGTGTGTGTGTGTGTGTGTGTGTGTGTGTGTGTGTGTGTGTGTGTGTGTGTGTGTGTGTGCGTGCGTGTGTGTGTGTGTTTGCTGTTCTGCGCAGGCCTCTTTAACAAACAGTGATGTGATCTTCCTGAAGCTGCATGCGCCGTGGGATGTTCTCTGCCGCTATGCGGAGCTCATGAACATCCGCATGCCGTTTAGGTGAGATTTTTCAGACTTCATTCATCTGTGAAAAAAAGCAGCATTTGGACATGGCTTACGTCTTCACTGGGGCGTCCATATTGATGTGGTAAACTAAAGCTGCTTTTTGATATTGATTTTTTGTTTGTTTGTTTGTTTTTGTAATTTTTTTCACAGTGATTGCAAATCTAAATGTTTGGGCTCAAAATCTTGTTTTTGGGAGTTTAACAGAACTTAGAACTCTTCTTGTTCAAGTTGATTTCTCTGGTTACAAAACATTCTGAGTCAGGTTTTTAGGCCTCCTTTTTCACATGTTTTCACGTCCTATTAGCCTTATATTTGGGCTGATGGTGGCTCCAAAATTTGATCTTGCTGTCCTTAAGCCACTTAGTGTCGAATTGGATGGTCCAGCAAAACACCCAGACAACATAATACTGCCACTCCTCCAGCACTCAAGCTGGATAGCTTCCTCATTTTTTGCTAGCATCTTATTGTTCTTGCTAGCTTCTTCCATTTATTGACAGCATTTTTAGTATTATTCAATCTCAGTAAGGAAAAAAAAGAGGTTGTATGCTTTTTCACACACATCATCAGTCACATATTGTAGCGGTATGTGTCCGTAATTACAGAACTTAACGCCATTTCATTCTTGCGCTCAACATTTTCTAAACCTTTGATCGTCAATCTTTGCCAGGAGGAAGATCTTTTACATGCACAGACGACACAAGTTTTTGAGCAGGTTAGTGTGGAAGTTTTCAGAAACGTCCCACTCAATAATTCTGGTAGTTTGAAACGAAACTTCTCTTCCAGGATGGAGAAGCGCATCAACAAGTTTCGGGGATGGCTCCCCCGCAAGCCCATGAAGTTTGACAACGACACTCTGCCCTACTTGGAGGAGAACGAAAGCTTCACGGCTCCCTTCAGCCGATCGAGGATCCATCAGTGAGATTTTTTCATTTTAATCTTGTGGTTTTGAAATCTTTGACATGTGTGCCTCACTCCCCCTTCCCTTTCAGTTTCATCATCCACAACAAAGACACGTTTTTCAACAACGCCACCAGAAGCCGGATCGTCCACCACATCCTCCAGCGGGTCAAATATGAGGAGGGGAAAAACAAGATGGGTGAGTTTTCTCTGGACATTCAAATGTCAGAATTTCTTTACTACTTTTAAAACTCGGAAAATTTTCCAAAGTTGAAAATTTTCCACTTTTGAAACTTAGAAATTTTTTCTCTATTTTTTTTTTTTAGGTGGGAATTTGTTCATCACACATTTCCGTGGATACTAAATACTGTTTTCTCTCTCGTTGCAGGACTGAATCGTCTTCTAACCAACAACTCGTACGAGGCGGCGTTCCCTCTTCATGAGGTAATCACATCCGCCTCCCTTTGCGGCTCACGTTGTCGCTCTCTCCTCTTCGCCGCTCGCTCCGTTCAGCGTGTTCAGGGTTTTCTTGTGGTTGAACCGCATCAGGGCAGCTACCACAGCAAAAACTCCATCCGGACCCACGGAGCAGAGAACCATCGGCACCTCCTCTATGAGTGCTGGGCCTGGTGGGGGGTCTGGTACAAGTACCAGCCGCTGGACCTCATCAGGTCAGTAGATGAAAAAAAAAAAAAAAAAAAAAAAAAAAAACTTCAGAAATTTGAAATTCTTGGAAATTTTTTAGAAAAAACTTGAAAAGTTCAAAAGTCGAACATTTTCAAATTTTGTGTTTTCTGGATTACAATAAATTTATTTTCTTTATTTCTTTTACTTTTAAAACTCAAAAAAGGAGAAAAAAAATCAATGTATTTTCTAGAAAATTTCAGAGTTTTTTTTTGGTGGGGGGGGGGAGAGGGGTTTGTAGCAAATTTTCAACTTTTCAAACTCAGAAAATGTCTCGCTGTTTCACAACTCCTGAGATTGTAGGCAGAAATTTTCCCTCTTGTTCTTTCTACCTGACCTGCTGCGGCCCTGACGCGCCGCCGTACTCCCCGACTTCCTCTGCTGTCGTTTCAGGAGGTATTTTGGCGAGAAGATCGGTCTGTACTTCGCTTGGCTCGGCTGGTACACGGGGATGCTGTTCCCTGCGGCCGTGGTCGGGCTCTTTGTGTTCCTCTACGGGGTTTTCACACTGGAGCACTGCCCGGTCAGGTAAACACGCAAATGCTGCTCTTTCTTTCCACAAATAATGCCTTGTAAGTTGTTCACATTTTTGTTGGTAGACCGAGACGAAGTAACTCTTCATGGAAAACCTATTTTTTAACATTTTCATGCAAATAGAACCTCAAAAGCATGGACTCTTCCAGCTGTACGTTTAGTTTTTAAGTACATTTTTAGCCCCATGTGTTCTAAGACATGAAGCCTCCATTGTAAAGGCCGAGGTTGTATTTTATGCTGGTTAATTTGGTGTTTGCTTTTCTCCAGTAAAGAAATCTGCCAGGCCACCGACACCATCATGTGTCCCATATGCGACCAGTACTGCCCCTACCTGAGGCTGTCAGACAGCTGCATCTACGCAAAGGTACGCCCGCCGCAGAGCGCTTCCTGCAGCAACCCGCACAACAACCAGAGGAATAAATGTGGTGCTTTGACTAGGCCTGTCGCAATAAGCAGCGAACCAGTTAATCACATGAGAAGTTGAAATGAACTCAGTCATTTGCACAATTTCTACCAAATACCGGATGACTGAAGTTTTTCAGCCGGGCGCTTTGACGTCATCATTCGTTTATTTATTTATTCATTTTTTTGTATTTCTTTTTGTTTATTTTGGATGTTTAAAATGTCTTCCAGCTCCAGTGTTAAATGATTATTGATATTTGAGCGCGTGTTCTTGCCCTCATTGTGTCATTACCGTTATGTCACTTGAAAATGGAACAACATCATCATTTATTACACCGAATTCTCTGAGAACTTATCCCGTCCTGTAAAAATCTGTTATTGTGACAGGCCTAATCTTAACTAAACGTTTGTACTTTTCAGATATGTTGTAGTTGTTATTGTTATATGTGCATGTGTGGCTTCTTGCTATTGTTTCTTGGTTTCTCTCTTTCTGCAGGCATAGAAGCTAATTGTTTTCTCTCTACGCTTCTTCCTGTCAAATTGTTTTTCTATTAAATTTGAACAATAAAAATAACAAATTCTAAGAACGTTTCTTATATATATGTTGGAGCCAATTTATGTTGAATTTTGCAAATCACAAATTCTCTCAATTTAGTTTTTTCTTCAGGCAGTTAGAATATGCTTAAGTTAGTTTGTTTAATGAGTAAATAGGCATATGGGCTCCACAACAAAGATATTTATTGTTTTTAATCAATTATTCAGGTTATTCAGCCGTCAGATTGGTGCAAAGTGTGATTCCATCCGTTCAGCTTTCGAATGCTTCGGGAAGAACTGATCATTCATGCATTTGTTTGACAGTAAAACAAAGGCCTGTCTGTATTTTTAGGTCACCCATCTCTTTGACAATGGAGCAACTGTTTTCTTCGCCGTGTTCATGGCAGTGTGGGGTGAGTCCCTGCTAACCTGCTCCCCAACATTCCCAGTGTCTTGTGTTCCCGTCTTGTCACCCGAATTCAGCGTCACCATCACGCCGACGGCTCAGTTGAAAATGAACTTCAACTGAACTTCAGACAAAGCGAATACACTGAGCTGTTTTTCTCAATAACATTGTTTAATTCGTTTAGGAAACGAAGGCAAAATCTGCAACAGGAGCTTTGTGTTTCCGTGAAACCGAGGCGGAAACAATTTCATCGCCGCCGCCCCCGAAACGTGACAGGTCGCGGCTGTCCCGTCTTAAATTGATGTGTGATACGATGTCAGTGCAAATCCATTTTAAGGTCAGGATTATATGCTTAAGCCGCAGCTCACACCAGACGCTGTTTACCTCAAATCACACGTGAGGTTCCTCATTGGTCGAGAGTCCAGTCCTGTATCTCCTCTGCCCAATCAGAAGTTGTTGATTTTTTGTTGTTGTTTTTTTTAAATCTTGATCACTGCTGGAATGTGAAACACAGCAAGGTTTCGAACGAGGATATTGATTCACTCACCGAGGAGACAGTTGGACAGAGACTGGGATCAACATGATGTGAGATTAAATCAAAATGTTGGTTTTCAGTGGCAAAAAATGAATATTAAGCAGCAGACGGAAAAGATTATGAAAACTGATGAAAAAAAAATTGCAATTGAAATAGAAAAACAGATCTCAATAACTGTTCATTTTAGTCTGTTTCCTTTTTGTGTTTCCTGTGAAAAAAAAATCCTGTAGATTGCAGGACAGGAAACATGCAGTTTAAATCCCTATTTCATCCATCCATACTTTTTTTTTCTCAGTTATTCACTGGTCATCAATGAAATAAAATACCTCAACAAATCCCATCTGTTGAATGTAAAATAAGAACACGGACACATATTTATGAGCAAAATTGCAGAAAAGTACAAATGGATAAGATTGATTCATGTATAATACCTGACGTAACCAGTTCATGTCTTTTCTTTTCATTATTTAAATAATACTTCTAAGACCTTGTCTGTATTTCAGTTTGTGAAATTTGGCGATGCTAGAAGCTAGCTTTGGCTAACGGTTACGTTCACAGTGATTGAAAGTCATTTATATCAATTCCGTCACTGTTTTTTTTTTTTTTTTATTTCTGCTGGGCACAAAATCGATGAAACCACCTTTTCACAATTAGCCAAAAACATTTTTATTAGCCAATTCTTCCAACTAAGAAGCTCTTCAAAATAAGAGCCCTAAACTAAGATGAATCACTTCACAATTAAAAGGAATATAACAATTTCTACCACTTATTTCACTCGAAAAATGTAGTGTTTTAATTTTAATCGTTTTTAGCTTATATCATGTTTAACTCTCTTTAAAAAAACTTGTTTGTTGCTTGAAATGCCACTTTGTGTTACTTGAATTTTTCAATAGTGCATATTTGCATCAGTGGCATATCAAAAGAAGACAGAATGACTGAATCACAGCAGATTCAGATGTAAAAAAAGAACAACAAAAAAAGTTATTATTTCATAAATGCTGTACAAGGTCCCAGGGTATAGATGGCGAGTGAATAAAACCCTCTGGATCTTTGTAGTTTCCTGTTGCGCAGGTTGTGGGATGTGACGCACCATCGGAAGAATCACTGTAGACTAAATAGGAGTTCTGTTTCATGTAATAGTATGGGAGCTCTAAAGGGACACAAATAAGAAAAAAGTCAATTGTATATCCTGGAAAAGTGCAAAATGAAGGCTGCGGACGAACAAATACAGGATTTCTATCCTCTAAGAACTGCTGAATAATTAAAGAAAACACGAAATGACACCAATTATAAGTCAGCATATGGTTATACACAAAAAATTTTATATGCTTTAATGAAGTTTTTTTTGTTTGAAAATAGTAGGCTTCAGAATAAGAGTGACTGAGTACAAATAAATGCTAGATTTCTATATTTGAAGCAATTATGTATCACAGTTAAGTCTGTCACACAAAACAATCCCAACAAAATGTGGTGGGTTGGTTTCTACTCATTCTGGATGGCCGTCTGGCGTGTCTGCTGCCCTTCTGTGTGCATGTTGAGTCACAGCAGAATCACTCACCGCTGAGCTTGTGAACAGAGTCCGGTTGTTGGAGAGCCTCTTGAACTCTTCGCTCGAGCCTCCAACATCTCAGCATGAAGAGCAGGACGAAGCACAGCTGCAGGGCAAAGGTCAACACGCCCAGCGCTATGACGGCGCTGGTGCCTGTTGAGGGGGAGGAACAGAGAACATGCAGATGGATTTACGCTGCGCACCATTTTCAGTGTTTTCGGGAAAATACAAGTGACAGGTTGCTGCAGCAACTGTGTCCTAACATTGTCCTCGTCTCATTCATCCCAAAGCTGTTCTGTGGAGGTAAAATCTGGACTTTCCCACACCAAACTCGTAAATCCATGTCTCTGTCTACCTTGTGCTTTACTGCACGGCCATGTTGGAACACTGGCATCACCAAAGTGAACCCGACTCCTGAAAAACAGCCGAGCACCTCAGTGACAATGCAGGGAGACAAGTGCTGTTCTCCTGGCAACGGCCTGACAAAGACGTCGAACACGTCTCTGCTCTTTGGGTCACAGCGTCAGACGCTTTGCATGAGAATCAGAGATTTAAAGGTTTGGAGTCGGGTGCTGGGCCATGGAAACCCATTCCATGAAGCTCCTCTCTGCCTGCTGTTCTTGAGCTAACCTGAAGGCAACACCACATGTTGAGGTCTGCAGAATATGACACTCATCATACCCGACCATCTCATTATAAGGTATAAAATAGCCCTGGAGCCCCAACTAGGTCCAGCATTAGCGTTAGTGGCTAACAGTTTACCAGTCCTGGAGTTCTCACAGAGCTTAGAAACGATCATAACCTTGTACATTCCTCTTTTTCTGTGGTCACCACAACTGTGACCATCGAAATAAACAGAACAGCTCATAAACTACTACGACCCTCTGCCTGAAAAACAAGAGTCAAATATAGATGGAGGTCACCATCAAATTCTGGTGCCTTCAAAATAACACACACTTACATTAGCCGAAGAGTCGACATGTCAAAACATTGTATTTTAATCCCATCGAGTTCTAGGTTTGATTGCTACGCTAGTCAAACCACAGTAAAACTGATATTCAGCTTTTAGGGGACTTTGGAAATGTTCCAGTACCGACTGATGATGCAGCGACTTCCCTGACAGCGATGTCTGTCTGTACGACGGCCAGCGTCAGGTTCTGGTTCTGAATGACTCCCATCCCGCCGCTTCCCGTCTTCTGCCTGCAATGGCCAAGCTAACGCCAAAAACAAAAAAAATTATGTTTACATCGCTAAAAGTTTATTTTGTTTACCAGAAATACCAGAAATATTCATCAATAGCAAACCTGTTAAGTTATGCAATATTATGAGTTGCGAGGTCAGAGGTCAGAAAACTGTACAGTCACTTTTACTCTTATTCATGATACATCAAATTTGTCTAGAGCCATAAAAGCCTGCATGACCCTTCATGAGCTATAGTTAAATTGAAGGAAAATAAAAAAAAATAAAAAAACTGCAACTCACAGATATTTTGCGTAGACTCAAAACCGAGATGAGAGACGTTTTGCAGCAGACGGAAAAGCGCGCCGACCTCGCAGCTCTTCTGCTGCCCCGACGAATACAGTTTGGGTTCACTGGCAACGGAGAATGCGCTCAAATCCCTTCATTATGGCCCTCCGGCATGGGCTCCCTGCCGGCTCCCAGCGGAAAGCTGGGCCCTTCCCAAACAGCTGAAAGCCTTTCGCTTTCAAAACATCCCACTTCTCTGAGGGCTAATGGCGGACCTGGACGTAGCAGAGGGACAGAGCGCAGACAAGTGGAGGGTAGAGACTGTGAGAATAAAGGGCAGTGATTAGAGCAGAGGGGCAAGTAAACATGTGCAATGAGTAAGCTATCCGCAGGACTTTGATCAGAGACGAACCAGCCAACCTCTGCCTCAGGACTCTCTCTGGGAATAACCTCCACTTTATAGCTTAAATGATCCAATCAGGCTTTTTAAATGCAAACCTAATCATGTTCTTCAGGCTTGCTTTAAGGCAAAGTGAGTGAACCCAGATCCAGCTAAAACTTGACATGGAATGGGAAATTCCAGGTCCTGTTTTGAACGTTTGGCCTGGAAACATTTAACAGCCTGGCTGAAAAGTCCAGAAAACGTTTCCTCTGTGCGACAGACGCTTCGCAGACGACCTCCGAGTCCGTGAGGTCAGAAAACCGCCACGCCTGTTCAAGTCCGTTCAAAGTCTGGACCTGAAACGGCCGACATGTCCCTCACTCTGAAGAAACATATTGGGAAAGCAGTTGATGTGAAACGGCAGCAGAAGATTTCCTGAAATAGGAAATAAAGACTAAATTAATATTCAGTATTAATATTAATACTGAATATTAATATTCAGTCTGACTGAATATTAATAATAGTAATATTAATACTGAATATTAATATTTAGTATTAATATTGAATCACAAGACAGTTTCATTAGTCGCTTTTGTTTCCATTTCAGTTGCCCAAACATTTACCAGCGCATACAACAAAAGCTATACATACAAGTAGAACACTTTTACTAAGCAAACATTTGCCACCTATAAAGAAATAAAGATGGTTGTAGGATATTTGCTTACTTTTTGTTGATGGGTCGCTTTGCTACAGCAGAATTAGAAGTGCAAATCGCATGAGGTTCTGTTTTTAAAGCAGATGAGGTGCAACAATAATTAAGAGACAAAAATGAAATGACAGGGGAAAAAATGCAGAAGAGACGACCAGAATCGCAGTAATCTCCACAAATACATCGATTCTCACTTTAAAAAGAGTAGGCAATTCAGTAAATTTACCTTCATTCTCATTGGAAGAAAAGCATGCGATGAGAATAATGAATTTCAGTTTTTCCTTCCTCCAGCAACAGTCTTCCTGGAGTTCTGGAAAAGACGAAGGGCTGTCTTGGCGTACGACTGGGACCTCATCGACTGGGAGGAGGAAGAGGTAAAAGGATTTCACTCCCGCCTTCGTCCTCCGGGTGGATTTGCTGCTATGATTAAGAACTCTCGTTATGCGGTTTCTGCGCTCTCTTGTGCGTGAAGTGGTGCACAAACTCCCCTGTTTCTGGTCATCCAGGATGAAATCAGGCCCCAGTTTGAGGCCAAATACTCCAAGAAGGAGCGGATGAACCCCATATCTGGAAAGCCGGAGCCCCACCAGGCCTTCACCGACAAGTACAGCCGCCTTCTCGTCTCATCGTCTGGAATATTCTTCATGGTGGGTCTATAAAACATAAATAAAATCTTAATTTATTATTTAAATGTTTCAGACACAGGCTCTCCATCACCTAATTGTGTATTTATATGTATATATTAATTCTTCCATGTATGTTTGACAAAAATCCTCTCATCTGCTATGGCAGCCATTCCGCTGAGCAAAACGCCTGGGTGGACATAGCTCCGCCTCCGAGACGAGGCTCCTGCAGTTTAGGAGCCTCCAGCTCATACAGCCGCTGTCCCCTGTGGCTAAATGGCGCTAACATTCGCTCTCTTTCCTTTCAGAGGTTGTATTTTTAGTATTTAGCTGGAGTTCCAAATGAAAAGGTTGGCGCCCTTGAAGCAGCCAAACGTTTAGCATCCAAAATCCGTTCTGTTTTGCTGTCGCTTAGTGAAACGCAGCAGTTCTTCTCTCGCACAGCACGTTCCTCTGTCACTCTGACCTCCCAGATCCTGGTGGTGATCGCAGCCGTGTTCGGCATCGTGATCTACCGCGTGATCACCGTCAGCACCTTCGCCGCCTTCGGCTGGGCGCTCATCAGGAACAACTCTCAGGTGGCGACGACGGGCACCGCAGTCTGCATCAACTTCTGCGTCATCATGCTCCTCAACGTGGTGAGTCGGCCGCTCACCGCCCACCTGCTGCAAAAGCATTCACAGCCAGTCATCTGTTCACATTTTCTGTCACATATGTTAGGTGGTACACAGACTGATGTACTGAGTTCCTATTTTTTTTTCACAGCTTTATGAAAGAGTCGCCCTTTTCCTCACAAATTTAGGTAAGACACGTTTAAGTCTTAAAACTTTTTCTGTACTTTTCGAATGCACAGTTGAGTGTCTGGGTCTGTAAACTTGTCCATGAGTCGTCGGCGTTCCTGAAACCAGGAACATAAATCAACTGCACTTTATTTCTTCCCCCGTGCGGCTACAGAGCAGCCAAGGACGGAGTCAGAGTGGGAGAACAGCTTCACCTTCAAGATGTTCCTTTTTCAGTTCGTCAATCTCAACAGCTCAACTTTCTACATCGCCTTCTTTTTGGGAAGGTGGGGAGGTTTAGCGTTCCGCTCCTTACGTGCAACGTGACGGAAGCAAATGTAAAAAAAAAAAAAAAAAGGAATACAAAGCAAACTTATAAACGGGGATAAGAGTCCAAAAAAATGAGAAAATTGTTTGTAAATGCTAAAAAAAATCAAGTTGAAATAGGAAGTATTATTGATGTTACAAAAGACCAATGCTACTTTTGTAACAAATCTGGGTAGCTAACAATATGTAATCTCAGTTGTACAGCAAAACACCCATTGCCATTTGTTTTTGAAATAAATGTTTGTAATAGGCCACAGCCCTGTTTTGGTAGCTGAGGGAGCTCTCAACTTTATTTAACAATCGATTTCAACACATTGCTTGTTCTTGTGAAAGAAACAGTTACTTATTTTTCAGTAATTTGATGTTGGCTATTTGCTAATGAGCTAATTAAAAAAAACCTCTCCTTTAGTGATGCTCCTCTGATGTTAAATAAGAGAGTTTCTCTGTATCAGACTCAACTTTCCAGCCCTTTGCTGATCACTTACTGTACAAATGTTTGACTGTGATCATCAATGATGTTGTTTTATTAACAGATTCACCGGTCGGCCGGGCGCATATCTACGCCTCATCAATCGCTGGAAGCTGGAGGAAGTGAGTTTTTCCATGACGGCATAGCCAAGAATTGTGGATTCCTGGAGGTAGAAATTAGAAACTGGGCTATTACTGTAAACCCACTCACCAAGCATTTAACCCTCATCTCTAGTAAATGCTACTTCTGGGAACATGCGAGGAAAATAAAGCACGGAGGAAGTCCACCAGGACAGAAGACCTGAGCGGACACTTTTTGCCGCTGAGCTAATGTGCTCCCTGTTGTGCTTCTGCAGCTGCAGAAATGGAAAACTCCTCTAATGGGATGAGGACAGTTCATGTCGGCCTTTTGTAGCCGTGCAGAACCATGACTGTGCTCACTGGTTCACGCCGTACATTTCCTTGACAATCAAAAGATACATTTTGTTCAGTCGATGACATTTTTGCCAAACAAATGTTTGGCAAAGATGCATGAGGTTCCAGCATACTGGAATTGCTTCATGTTCCCAAGTAACTGTTACCAACAAAACCAAATAGACTAATGATAACTCTTATTAGTGTTCAGGGTTTTTTTTTTTTTGATTACTGATCTAATATGTTTTTGTTGCTGCTGCAGTGCCATCCCAGTGGCTGCCTGATCGACCTCTGCATGCAGATGGGCATCATTATGGTACTGAAACAGACCTGGAACAACTTCATGGAGTTCGGCTACCCGTAGGTTCAGCTCCTTTTCGGGTTTTTTTTTTTTTTGCTCAGTTTTGTCATTGCCCTGTGGACGGTCCTAAACATTTTCACCTCCACATTGTGCATGTGACTATTGGTTGAGGGGGAACAAAATAGTTCAGCAGCAGTTAAAGAATAAAATGTGCCCATCCATTAAAAAAAAGGTCCAGACATCCTATTGTCTAGATAAGCCGTGATTGGTTTATAACTGTTTTTAATGGACACAAAGCTAAATCAACACAGAACACTCTACTTTAGGAGTGACATGTCTGTTGGGTCGCCTTGCATTGTGCTTCCAGGCTCATCCAGAACTGGTGGACTCGACAGAGGTTAAAGAGAGAGCACGGCCACATCCCCAAGGCCAGCCTGCCCCAGTGGGAGCGGGACTACAACCTGCAGTCAATGAACGCGTACGGACTGTTTGACGAGTACCTGAAGATGAGTGAGTCGGCCCTCTATTCGGTTTCTGTTCTTCATTCAGTCTCCGCAGAAAAATATTTCATGGCGGGGCTGGGCTTTGAGGTGACCTCATAGGCGTTCCACTGTTTAATCTCTTTAAGTATCATGAAAATATTCAAACAAAACATTTTGTCATTATGGAGCTGATCTGCTGTACACGTTATGTAATTGTGACATCCATCTGCTCCGGTTTTCGCTGCCGCTTTCCTTTCTCTTCACGGGACGCATAAACTCTCTTCTTTCACGTTTGTGTCAGCGTGGAATAAGTTTTAGCGCGAATTAATTAACAAGCGTTATGGAAATGATAGAATGGGATTTTATAATAAAACTCTGTAGAGGAAGAGCGCCATACTGTGGAGTATTTGGGTATGTAAAGTGGTATTTAAAACTATTCCAGTTGTTTTTATGCACAAGGATTTTATGAAATGCCTTGTGAGCAAATCAAAATATATTCCTTTTAATAAACAGTTTATATATTGTGAGACTAACTGCATCAAGAATACTTCCAATTAAATACTACATAAGCTTTTAAGTTAATGGGAAACGTCCATCTGGCTGTTTGAGTAACAATCATAATACTAATAACATCTATGAAAACTATTTTTATCTCTAAAATATTGTTTGTTGAATTCCTTAAAGTTTCTAAGAAAATCAAGTCCTAAGTCAAGATTAAAACTGAAATCTATTTGTGCTGTGACATAGTTTTTTTTTTTTGTTCCTGTTGTTTTTTTTTCAGAGGTAAAATGAAGCCATTCAAGTGAGACAAAAGTTTGTTGATCTTTGTGAGTCAGACAAGAAGAAGAGGCTTAATGTATAGGCTTGTCCATATCTACAGTCGGACAATAATTAAAAAGTCTAAATTGTGTTCCTCGGGGTCTTTGGCCCCATTTTGTACATTCGATATTACGCGACCCTTTGCGATATCTTCTTTAAACTCCCTGTGTCACCATCTGAGATGAAAGATCAGCCCAACACAAACCTCTTCAAATTAAACAATGACAAAACTCTCCAGATTGGAACAAGGTTAGCTCTCTCTAAAACCTTTTTTTTTTTTACACAATCATTGCTACCATTTCCCTTTGACTTGAGGTTAAAGGTCTGGCCACTAACTCCATCCACCTCACACTGATACATCACAGAAACCATCTCTGTCCATCCCAGTGTACTCATTTACTTAATGCCGGTCTTCTGCATTGCTTATTGTAACTCTTCTTTTGGGTCTCGCTCTCTCAAAAGAAGAGACCCAAAAGAACCTAAATCTCCAGAACCCACTCCTGGCCTCTTACTCCGTACTGAATTCTCTTCAAAGGCAGTCTATAACCATGTTTCTCCATGTCTCTCCGAACTCATCTGCACCATTCCAAGGTGTTCCTCCTTCTTAAAATATGCCACCATATTTAAATATGCCTCTTTGAAGCTGAATGTTTGTATGTGAAAATGATTGATGTTCAGAGATTATAATTGACTCTCAGAGAAAGCCTGGAAGAGATAGTAAGCAAGTGCACACATCAATCACTCTGGAAGATTACTTGGGGGAATTGACTGAGCAGGACTAGAAGCAGTTATGTAGTCTTAGAATGGAACAATTTGATTGTAAATCAAACAATGAAGAGACTGGTTAGAGTCGTGAATGAAGGAAAATCGTAGCATTGTTTGAAGGGGACGGTTTGGAAAGTTTTTTTTTTTTGGTTGACATGGTTATTTAGATTAGTTGTCACGGTGAAGTCGACCTGTAAGTAAATGATGGATGATGGAAGATCTCGGCGCCTACATTACACCCACTGCACCGTTCAACCGTTCAACGAAGACGTGCTGTCTTTGTGTCAGTTTTGCAGTTCGGCTTCACCACCATCTTCGTGGCCGCGTTTCCTTTGGCTCCTCTCTTAGCGCTGATCAACAACATCATCGAGATACGTTTAGACGCCTACAAGTTCGTCACCCAGTGGCGGCGACCTCTTCCATCACAAGCTAAAGACATTGGTAAGGAAAAGGCTATAAATAGTTCTGTGAAAAGACGCTTTATTTTGGTGTCTAACTATTCTGTGACTCAGGAATCTGGTATGGCATTCTGGAGGGTATCGGCATCTTGTCCGTCATCACCAACGCCTTTGTCATCGCCGTCACCTCGGACTTCATCCCTCGTCTCGTTTATGCCTACAAGTACGGACCGTGTGCCGGTCAGGATCGAGCCGGGGAGGGGTAAGAGTTATGCTACCTCATAAGAGTTCGTTTGTTCTCTTCCTTTCATGCTGGATGGTGTATGATGTCAGTTTCAATGTATGTGTTTAATGCTATTTCTTTTCTTTTCCCCAGGTGTATGATGGGTTATGTAAATGCCAGTCTGTCTGTCTTCCGAGTTTCTGACTTTGAGAAGAGATCCCAGCCAAGAACCAATGGCTCTGAACTTTTTGAAGAAGCTGTGAAGTATTGCAGGTGAAGTTGAAAGGACTATGTAATTTGTGTGGGTGTGTCAGAAACACCCGAAAAAACATGTTTTATAGATTCAACCATTAGAGTTCTGTGGCGACTTCTGATGTTTGGCATTTTGAATACAACACATTGTCAATTGAAGTTGACATTTTAACCTGTCTTCAGCAATTTTTTTCTTAACTAGCAAAACCAACAAAGTGAGCTTGACTGATTGTAAGCATCAGTCATTTTGTCGTTCTATCAGTCTTGTCCTAAACTCTAAGATATCAAAAATGCTACCAACATTTTAAAATTAATAATTAATTTAAGCGTCCTCTCACCCCTCACTGATGCTGAAAATCACTAATATCAAATCTTCTTCCCTCATTGACAATATTCTCACTGAAGAGTGTTACGGTTGGCACAAATTAGTTGGTATGGTGTGTTTTAATGATCGGGAAAGGATTGGGTTTTCAACTCTGTAGCTAATTTTTTGGTGCATCTCTTACTATTTTGTATTTCCAAATACAAATACAGAATATGTCTTTCCAAATAGTAGAAGAAAGCAGACAAATGAAAGTGTTTTTTGTGTGACCTCAAAGATTATTATTTTTTTGTTTTTGTTTTACCTTACCCAACAGGTATCGGGACTACAGGGAGCCTCCGGACTCAACTGAGCCATACACTTACACTCTGCAGTTCTGGCACGTCCTGGCAGCCCGGCTGGCGTTCATCATTGTTTTTGAGGTCTGTTTGTGTTGATGCTGATTGTGTTATTTTGTTCTTGTTGCAAACAAATGTCGGAAAAAAATTCACCTTTATCTTTATTTTGGAATAACTGACACATTTCACTGAAAATGGGGTTTAATTTACATCATAGAGATCTGGCTCTCTGATTTCTGATTCGGTTTCCACAGCACATGGTCTTTGCCATAAAGACCCTGATTGCATACCTAATCCCGGACCTACCCAAGGACCTGCGGGACCGGATGCGCCGCGAGAAGTACCTGATCCAGGAGATGATGTATGAGGCCGAGTTGGAGAGATTGCAGAAGGAGAAAAATGAGAAGAAGAAGAAAGACAGGACCCACCATAAGGAATGGCCTTGAATACAACTGTCTGCTACATTTTTGGATTGGTTGTACAAGAAAGTAATTATCTTCTTTGTAAGATCATTAGTGTTCTGTTGATTTTTTGTTTGTTTTTAAAACTAAGTCAATTATATATTCAATATTTTTCCCTCCATTTTTTTTATGTGGGGTCAGGATACTTCCTTTTAACACTTTTAAGGTAAAAATGAAATACAAAAGTAATTTTTGGCATTTTTATGGCATTTTTCCAGATGAAAGACATAAATACACTCAACCGCCACATATTTTCCATTCCTGAAGTGATGATTGGTATTTTTTCTTTGAAATAATTCAATTAATATTTGAATCTAATGCTAAAACTGAAAAAAATATATTTGCAGCTGAATTAAAGGAAAATAGAAGTAAAACATATGAAGTCTATTTCAGACCAACATTTAATTTTCTTTCCATTATATAGATCTTAATCAGGGCTATAAAGCTTCTTCAAAAAAAAAAAACTGAATCTGAAAAAAAAAAATCTTGAATCTGATATGTAATTTTGAACATTTCAGTTTCAAATTTCTTTTTCATTTTGATTTTTTTCTTTTCTTTTCAACAAATTTATGGCCCCAATTTAGCTCCATAGGAGACGCTTTAAAATAAACTTTTTTCTCATTTCCAGGCTTTCAATTTGTTTTGTTTTTTTGTTGTTTTTTTTTTTTTTTTTTTACAGTGGAGGAGTTCTGCATGTACTGGATCATCAAATCTTCCTCCTGCCATGTTAGACCAGCACCTCCTGTTGGACAATTACAGAACTGCATCCAACACAGAGCCACCCTGGAGCCTCTGTGTCCAGAACTCCTCAGCACACGGGACTTTTAGCAGCCAATTTTGCAACTTTCTTCTCTCTTGTTCAGACTTTTAGCAGCATTTGGCTTCAGCTCCTGAATGTAGATTACAAGCAAGAATAAAACTTTATTCCTTTGTAGGCGACCGGAGCTGCTCTGCGGAGTTTAACGAATGATAAACCTTGTTTACATTTCTCCTCGTTTTAGGAGTTTATTTTTATTTTTGCTTTATTGTAAATAAAATGTTGAAATGAATGAATGTCAGGCCGTGCACTCTGCTGTAGTGTAGTTCAATCACAATAAAAGTCACATAGTTGAGGTTCCTTCTATTGATGCTGCTGTGGTACTTTCTACAGTTTGCTATAAAAACAGAGGCTCAGATTAGTACCTGGAGTAATAAACGTCATTTATTTTGAGTCCCTTTGTTTTTGTTATTTTTTTCATGAAATGTTAAAATTGCTGCTAATGTTATTAGAGTAGTATCAGGACAATTACAAAACAAGTCATTCTAAAAAGTAGTCAATTTCATAAGTCAAACTATTATTTTAAATAATTTATCTCTAGCACTTAATTTTGATGCTTTCGCATGAGTCAGCTTTCATTTTTTCCCAAAAAAATTATCAAAATAATTTTGAAGCCTCAGGAAATATTTCAAGAAGTTCCATAACATCCAAGAGGAATCATTATATAGCGCACGTTCTCCTCTCTTCGGGTTTTTTTTTTTTTTTTGTAAAATAAACGAGGCGACAATTTAATGTTTTAACAATACAATGGCTTTGGCACAAACTGTTGGTGTTTTTTGTGACTGAGTTGTTCTTAGACATCGTAAATCCATGTCGGTTCTGAGCCTTCCTCGATTAGCCGGTAGCTTCGTCGACTGTGACCCAGGAACCGGCTCAACCAAGACGCCAGAGTTTACGCCAGGTAAGACTTCCCTTCTAAACTTTTGAACCACCACTTTTACTCCTCTGCTGAAATATTGTGTTTATGTCCTTCACTATTGTTGCTTTGTCAGTGTAGTTTGTGATCAAATTTGTCCATTTTTGTGTTCATTTTAACAACCAGCCATGAAACTTAGCTTAACTTTAGCTAAGTCGGGCACGGCACGCGGTACTGACAAAAAATGAATAAGATTTTAATTTAAAACTAAAAAAATTACAAACTATTAAATGAATGAAACAAAATAAAGAATTAAAAGTAACTACCGGTATATCAATTCAGAGCACGAAATGTTGAAAAACCTGCTGTTTTCGTTTTCACCACCAGATGGGGCCAGAGCTCGTTTCCAGTTTAATTATGGCAGCTCTGTTTATTTGTTATTGAATGTTAAAATTGATTGTATTGCTATTAGAGAACAATATGGGTCAAAGCAATTGCAAAACAAGTCATTTTAAAAAGTTCATAAGTCAGACTATGTATTTTATATACATATATACATATATACATATATTTTATATACATTTATATACATTATATACATATATATATATATATATATATATATATATATATATATATATATATATATATATATAAAAATTCCCTTCTCACCCACCGCGGGTGGTTCTTATCCTCTGAGCTCAGGTCCTCTACCAGAGGCCTGGGAGCTTGAGGGTTCTGCGCAGTATCTTGCTGTGCCAAGGACTGCACATTTCTGGACTGAGATGTCTGATGTTGTTCCTGGGATCTGTTGTAGCCACTGCTCCAGTTTGGGGTTACTGCCCGATATATATATATATATATATATATTATATATATATATATATATATATATATATATATACATATATATACATATATATATATATATATATATATAGAGCTGACTGGATAGCTCAATACATAAGGCATCAGTATATCACCCGAGAGGGCAGGGTTCGAATCCAGTCTGGGTCCTTAGGCAAGACCCTTCAAGCTACTGCCTACCTCATACCATGAGAGATACTAAGTTGCATAACATGCCGGCTCAGAAGTCGCCCGGCCAAACAAGGTCTGCGTCAGGTGTTGGGGAACCAGAGCACCTTGATGACAAATGGGCTACTGGAACAAGACGGAAATGGGCGAGAGATGAAAATGTGGATCTGTTGGAATGCTACTACTCAAGTAAACCCTAGTGAGAGAGGTTACATGCAAAGACTGGGGAAGGAATGGTTACTTCGACATCCCCAGTCAACTAAGCGCTAAACAAACTAGTAGCTCAGTGTTCCAACATCCGCAAACGGCAACTGCTATCACAACTTGAGATTGACGAGATACAACACAAATGCTACGGCAAAAGGGAGGAACCCGGATGTCAGGACTGTGGGGACTTAACTACAAGTCCCCACCCAGTGAGGGGATACACGGCCCCAATGAGCGAAACAGAGCTGAACGAGACAGCTGCTGACCTGAGAGAGAGAATCATGACCCGAATGACAACCAGGCCTCCCCGGCGCCAATTACAACGGCTGAGTGAAGTACCATCTGAAAGTCTCATTGAGAATGTGAATGCAGCATTGAGAACGATCCCTACCAACACCATAACAGAAACCAATGAGCTGATCTACAAATCAGCATCAGTGATCCTTGAGATACTTGGCTATAAGAGCAACCATGAGACCCAATACCCACCATGGAAAAACGGTTAGAGGCTAAAATCAGGTAACAAGGAGGGAAGTGAGCCAACTGTCAGAGCTCCACAAGGGTGCAATGAAAAGACCAGTACCCAGAAAGTACAGGCAGATGCCCATACCTGAAGCACTCGAGACTGCAAACAGAGGCTCCAAGCCTTGTCCAGCCGCCTAAAGAGATACACAAGGGAGAATGAATCCAGAAGGATTAACGGCTCTTCTCCACTCAACCAGCTAAGGTGTACTCTCAATGGCAGGGTAACAAAACAACAGAGCAGACCCACCAAGGCTGGAGACGGAACAATACTGGAAAGGCATATGGGAAAGGGAGGCGTCCCACAACAGCAATGCACAGTGGCTGATCTCTCTACGAGAGGACCACAGCAACCTCCCTGAGCAAGCCCCGGTAACCATCACTGTGACAGATGTCCAAGAAAGAGTCTCAGGTATGAAAAAACTCGACAGCACCAGGGCCTGACATGACCCATGCCTACTGGCTAAAGAAACTCACTGCTCTCCATGAGCGAATGGCAGCCCAAATGAACCAGCTGCTACAAAGTGGGACTCACCCTGAATGGTTAACTGAAGGGCGGACAATCCTAATCCAGAAGGATCCATCAAAGGGTCCAGTCCCACCCAACTACCGACCAATAACCTGCCTCTCCACAACCTGGAAGCTCATGTCAGGCATCATAGCGGCCAAGATAAGCAAACACATGGATAAACACATGAGCACGGCACAGAAGGGTATCGGTGTAAATACCAGAGGAGCCAAACACCAACTCCTCGTAGACCGCACAGTTGCCCGAGACTGCAAAAACCCGACACACCAACCTGTGCATGGCTTGGATTGATTACAAGAAAGCCTATGACTCAATGCCGCATACTTGGATCATTGAATGCTTAGAGATGTATAACATCAACAGGACTCTGAGAGCCTTCATTGCAAACTCGATGAGGCTGTGGAAAACCACCCTTGAAGCCAACTGCAAACCACTTGCACAAGTGTCCATCAAATGTGGCATATACCAAGGAGATGCTCTGTCCCCGCTACTGTTCTGCATAGGCCTGAACCCCCTCAGCCAAGTTATCAACAAGACTGGCTACGGATACAGACTCAAAAATGGGGCCAATATCAGTCACCTACTCTACATGGATGACATCAAGCTGTACGCCAAGTGTGAGCGAGACATCGACTCACTGATCCACACCACCAGGATCTACAGCACTGACATTGGGATGTCATTCGGACTAGAGAAGTGTGGTCGGCTGGTCACAAAGAGGGGGAAGGTCATCCACACAGAAGGGGTCTCACTCCCAGAAGGAACAATAGCAGACATAGAGGACAGTTACAAGTACCTAGGTATACCACAAGCAAATGGCAACCTCGATGAGGCCACAAGGAAAGGAGCCACAGCTAAATACCTCCAACGAATAAGGCAAGTCCTGAGAAGCCAGCTCAATGGCAAGAACAAAATCCGTGCGATAAACAGCTATGCCTTGCCCAGTAATCAGACCCTGGAATAATTAGCTGGCCAAAGGAGGAGATAAAAACCACAGATATTAAGACCAGAAAAGCTACTAACAATGCATGGAGGGTTCCATCCCAAATCCAGCACCCTGAGACTGTACACGAGCCGCAAGGAAGGAGGCAGAGGACTAGTGAGTGTGAGAACCACTGTCCAGGACGAAACAACTAAGATCCATAAATACATCAGGGACAAAGCCTCAACAGACAATGTGCTCAGTGAATGTCTCAGACAACAGGGAACGGAGGTTGAGGTGCCAGAGATACCATCATGGGAGGACAAACCCCTACATGGGATGTACCACCAGCAAATAACCCAAGTGGCTGATATCAGTAAATCCTACCAATGGCTGGAAAAAGCTGGACTCAAGGACAGCACAGAGGCCCTCATCCTGGCCGCCCAGGAACAGGCCCTAAACACCAGAGCAATAGAGGCCCAGATCTACCACACCAGACAAGACCCAAGGTGTAGGTTGTGCAAGGAGGCCCCTGAGACAGTCCAGCACATCACAGCAGGGTGCAAGATACTGGCAGGGAAAGCGTACATGGAGCGACATAACCAAGTGGCAGGCATAGTGTACAGAAACATCTGTGCAGAATATGGACTGGAAACCCAAGATCAAAGTGGGAAACACCCCCAAAGGTGGTGGAGAATGCCAGAGCTAAGATCCTGTGGGACTTCCAGATCCAGACAGACAAAATGGTAATGGGAACCAACCAGACATTGTCGTAGTGGATAAACATCAGAGGAAAGCCGTTGTGGTAGATGTAGCAATACCAAGTGATTGCAACATCAGGAAAAAGGAGCACGAGAAACTAGAGAAATACCAGGGCCTCAGGGAAGAACTGGAGAGGGCCTGGAAGGTGAAGACCACAGTGGTACCTGTGGTCATCGGGGCCCTCGGGGCAGTAACCCCCAAACTGGAGCAGTGGCTACAACAGATCCCAGGAACAACATCAGACATCTCAGTCCAGAAATGTGCAGTCCTTGGCACAGCCAAGATACTGCGCAGAACCCTCAAGCTCCCAGGCCTCTGGTAGAGGACCCGAGCTCAGAGGATAAGAACCACCCGCGGTGGGTGAGAAGGGAATTTTTTTTATAGATAGATATAGATATATCTATATCTATATCTATATATATCTATCTATCTATATATATATATATATATATAGATAGATAGATATATATAGATATATATATATATATACATGGATTAAGGTGAATTAATTGTATGTAAAGTTAATAACTGTACCTAAGCAGCACATTGCGGCAGCTTAT